GTGCCCCATCCCCACCTTGTCMCCCAGCCCAGAGCACTGAGAGCCACCTCCAGTCTTTCCTTAAACACCTCCAGGGGTGGGGACTCCACCCCCTCCAGTGCCTCACCTTTTTGTGAAGAATGAGACATCTCATCCCTGTCCTTCACCCCCTTCACCCGACAGAGAGCACAGTGTCCCCTTTAGCATGGACTCCATCCCATCACAGGGGCATTGTTGAGTTGAAGCCACACCTCACTGTGACTGACAACCCTTTGCTGAGCATCTTCATGAATCAATTCCCAGAGAAGCATCAGGAGAGCATCAGGCAGGACAAACAAGCTGTTTGGAGGCTCGGGAGAGCCTGTGAGGTGGCCAAACAGGCTCCCACCTCCAGCACAAGCCACCACCAGCTTGGACTTTCTCCAGAGGGATCAGTGTGCAGGCAGACACCATCTCTGCCGGGTTTAAGCACTGGAGCACCAACCTGAAGGAGAAGTTGAGGGTCTCAAGCGGGTATGTGGGAGGTGGGTACCAAATCCTCTCACCTTTCACTGTCTGGGCAATGCTTGCTCCCTTAAAGCACCAACCTCGGCTGATATTTCCTCGTCAAGGCATCAAATTTGGGAGGTTTCCTGCTGTTCTGCAGGCAAGGTGCCTCTTCCAAAAGCAACCTTAAATGCAGACCTTCAGGCCAGCTTTGCTTCCAATAAGCAGCAGGGTTTGGAGTGGTTGTGCTTTGCTGTGCTCTGCAAAACCTGGAGCCACTCTGAGGTTTGGGTGCCCAGGGAAGTCTGGAGGTCACGGCTCAGCCGGGCTGGGAGCCAGAACCCACGGCTGGCTCTGCAAACCTCCCTCCAGGTATGTCCTTTCTTGTTTTCTCCCTTTTCAAATATCATAAATGGGTCTTTCTTTCTTTTTTTTTTTTTTTTTTTTTTTTAAGTTCCCAGCCATCCTGAACTACCCACGCTCGGAACTGCAATATCCCTCCTGCCACAAATGCAGAATTTCAGTAAATGCTTCCTTGGGGGTGCAAAACCTCCAGCTCTCAGAGCCACTTGCGTGTTCAGCAGCAAATTCAGGACATCACCTCTCCAAAGGGAGCCTGAAAGTCACGGTCCCCTGAAAGTCAAAGCATGTTTTATTGACTGCAGTCAAGAGAATCAAAGATCTGGAGACCTGGACTCCCACGGAATAAACCACATTAGTCCTGTGCAGGGATCATTCCTCTCCCAGACGTGAATTCCACTCAGCCTCCCCTGCTGGGAATGATTAAAGACCCCTTTAGCAATCAGCAAAGTGTCATATAAGCAGGTGAACAAGTGAAAGAAAACAAGGGGAAGTGTTGACCTGCCCCCCTCCACTGGGAGCAGTCACAGTGCCGGGATGGAAGTGCAGCTCCCTGGGTGCTGCCGGCTGTTTGCTGTACAAAATTGGGATGGAGCCACGGGGGATGGCACTTCTCAACTACCAAACCCTCATTCCGGGGGAAGGCACAGCCTGTGCAGATGCAGAAACAAGCCAGGGGTGATTTTTCCCCTCTCCTAGGCTCCCTTCCCCAGCTGCTAGCCGGGCTCAGGCTGGGAAGGCAAACTGGGAAGCTCTCAATGGGAGCTCGAGGCTGCCCACTGGAGCTGCCAGCTTGGCTCCAGTCCCAGGTTGGACATCAGTAGGGAGCCCAAACCCCAAGAATGAACCTTCACACCACACTGATCTCCAGCCTGGACACCCCAAGAGCAGCACCACCCTCGCCAAACCCTTGGCTTATGGTGAGGTTTCACCTGGCCACGAAGTTTTGGGGTGAAGCTCTGGAGCAAGGAGAGATGGAAGGAGCACAACAGCTCTGGAGTGGCAGCTCTGAGCCTGGCTGAGCCCCAGGATCCCCAGGCAGCCCTCCCTGAAGTGTCCTGGGTGAAATGACTCCTTTGGGTCCATCTGGGCTCCCTCCACCCAAGGGACCCTCCCCATGCTCTGCCTTCCCCCTGGCAGGTGGGGAAACGGAGTCACCGGGTGCTGATCTGTGGGGGAGCCTGGAGAGAGGCTGAGCAGAGAACCCAGGAGTCTCTCTCTTCCCAACACGACACCAACTGCTGGGATGGGGCAGAATCCTGTTGGGAACTGGAGTCTGAGCCAAGCCCAGCTTCTGAGAGAGGATTCAGGCTCCTTCCCGCTGCTGGGGAAGGGAGTGCTGGCACTTCTGGGGGTGGCACTGACAACCCTGGGGTTAAGGCACATGTAACCCAGGCAGGGCTGAGCACAGGGTGGAACTCATCACACAGAGGCTGCAGAGTCAGTCACAGCCAGGGCTGTGGTTGTTGGCAGATGGGTTGAGACTGGTTGAAGACACCCCAGCAGGACAGAGAATCACTTCTACAGCTTTTTATTGCCAAAATGGTTAAATACCTCTGCAGAGGGCTGGGAGCATCCTCTGACCTCCCAGCTGAGCTGCCCCACAATCACCTCCCTGTGCCCCACATCCCTCTGCCAGCTCTGCATCCATCTGGAGCTGCCCGGGAGGGGACATCAGGCCAGGATGGGGAAGGAGGCGGCGGTGGCCACGCCGCAGTTGTTGTCCTTCATGGCCATGAGGATGTAGCCGTCGTTGCCCCAGTAGGTGGACCAGGAGTTCTTGATGAGCCAGTAGCCCTTGCCGTGCAGGACCCCGTAGCCCACGGCCAGCACCGCGTGGTCCAGCGCCCACGTCTCGTTTCCTGGACGGAAGAGAGAAGAAAACAAAGCCAACTCAGTCCCTGTCTCGGAGCCAAATCCCACCCTACAAATGTTTTTGCTCATCCCAGTGGCAACGAGCAGGGCATGGAGCCTCCAGGGGCCGGGACTCACCGCAGAGGGGCTCCTCGTAGACGCCGTTGGCGTAGAAGGCGAAGGACTTGTGGGAGGCGTCGATGTTGACGGCCACGGGGCCGTGCTTGACCAGCGCAGCCTTCAGGGCCACGGCACTGCCCGGTGCCACGCGGGCGTAGCCAGCCAGGGGGGCCACCAGCTCCGACTGGTTACAGTGACAGTAGCCATTCTGGAGTGGGAGCAGGGAAAGCTGAGGTGGCACCAGGGTCCAGGGGCAGGGTGGGGTGGTGAGAAGGTGGGAGGGAGCGGGGCAGCTCGGATGGAGCATCCAAGGTGGAGCCATCCACTGCTGGTTTGGGAGAGCCTGGAGGGAAGGACTGGGGAGGGGGTGGCACTGCACCCACTCTGAGTGGCACTGCCACCCTCACCTGCCCCAGGTAGGGCCCGTAGGACTCGGTGCTGGCAATGCCACCGTGTTTCTTGATCCACTCATAGGCTCTCCACTCCTCCCCCCCGTCACAGGCGTAGTTCCCGAAGCCCCAGGAGCAGTCGATGAGGACTTGTTGGGACAGGGGGGTCAGCACGCCGGTCTGTGGGGGGGACACGCTGCAGGAATGGGGACAGGCACCCTCCAGGCACCCCGTCCACCCCTGTGGGGCACAGCCCCACTCCCACCTTGAGGAACAGGGCACCTTCCATGGCCCCCGTGGTGGCGAAGCTCCAGCACGACCCACAGACAGCCTGGTCCTTCACGGGGGTGAC